CGGGGGGACGCCGAGGGGGCACGTCAGCCTGACGAGGGGGTCCATGTGCCGCTCCCCAACAGCGCGGCGACCCCTTCGTTGCTCTCGGTGGCACGCAAGAGGGCTCGCTGCTCCTGGCGGGGGGTTTCACGGAGGGGCGCGTTCATTTTAAAAAAAAAAGTTTATCTACAGCAGAATTGCCGATCCTCAGTAGAAACCGGGACCTCACTGGGACGCAGCATTACCGATCAGTAGTTATTTAAGGTTACTGACACGTATCGGTATCTAAGGATTGCTAATATATATTGGTAGCTAAGAATCCTGCTATTTTTGATGGCATTAGTCACCTGCAGTAACTTGAGTATGAAGTTTCAAAGTTTGTTAGGTGAAAGTTCTTAACTTTAAGGCCTAACTAATTTCCTTTAACTTTTTTGGGTAGAGGGGAAGGGGGTGGAAATCACACGAGGAAAAGGAATGGAGCTGACGTTTTAAGTCAGCACTCTGCGCTCAGGCTAATGTCAGCCTTTCCTGTTTGATTTTACGTTTTAATCGTGACTTTAGAAAAATAATTCTTCCTTAAAAGAACTGATTTTTCCGAAGCACAGCAGTGAATTCACCATATTCCCCTTTCAAACTGTGCAAGGCCATCCACCTGCCAAGGGTTTGTTGCTGCCGAGTATGCGGGTGCTGCAAGTTACGAGGAGATTTCTGAACCAGGTTGGGGGTTTTTGGCTGTAAAGTTACTTGTGAAACTCGTTGACAAGTGATGACTTGACTAAGTAATTTTAAGGATTTAGAGCAGCTTAAGGCAGATTTATAGCTTTTAATCATGTGGTGTAAGTGGCGAGAGTTTTTCTAACTGGGAAGACCTCCTGTGCAGAACTCGTTGCAAACGCACCAATAAAGGAAAGCAGCTTGAGCTTGTTATGGTGAGCGCATAAATAGGCAAAGATCAGTACGTAACGTGCAGGAGGTGCAGAGGTTGATCACTGCCAGGAGGGCATGGATATATTCCTTCATTCACAAATGTAAAGTGTGTGTTTTGGTGTTATTTCAATTTTACAAGCCAGTGCTGAAGTCAATCAACACTTCAGGTGTTGGGTAAGAGTATGTGTTGAGTGTAGGTTATCATAAACACATATTTTAGTGACAGGAACAAGTAGATTGTACATGTGAAGAAGCTTCAGCGTGACAATACCCTATCGACCCTGTTTTCTAAAGCTGCATATTTATTAGGTGGTAATTTGGCAGTGAAAGTAGTTAAATGGGGAAAGGGTTATATCTTGGGCTCGTCAGCATGTTTCCCTTGACACAGGGCGGGTGACAGGTGCGCGAGGCTGCACCGCTCACATCGGGGCGGAGGCTGCTCAGCCGGCAGGTGCTGCTCGCGGCCCGGGGTGCCTGAGCTCCTCTCAGCACAGTGGCGGCTGCGGAGCTGCTGGTGATCAAACAGAATGAGCGTGTGGAGGTGTGCCGAGTTCTCTTCGCATATGTGTTATACAGTTTACAGCAGAGCTTTTAAAACTTCAATATTTCTAAAGCTGTTTGACCTGCAACGTGTGGGTAAATGCAGGGGAATGATACAAGAGGGATTTCAAGTTATGGTAACACCAGCCGAGTGTGTTATTTTTATTACTTTGTTACATTACGTCTAAAATGAGACTGAAGATCTTCAGGGCACCATTAGCAGCTGACATTTGAAAAATACAGTGGAGAGCTTACAGGCTTTCAGTGTTAAGACTGTTGTAGTCTGGTGTAGTGCCAAGAGCACCATCCAGTAGTGTAAGTTGATGTTAAAGCATGACTGAGCGCTTGCCTTTGGTGCTGCTTTTCTGTGGAGATGTGTCTTTAATCTTTTCCCCAAGTTTCAGGTTTCAACTTACTGTGCTTTCAAGTAGTAGGAGCACAGCATCCCTCTGCTTTAACTAAGCTCCTAAGTAATAGGTTACTAACTGTAGTTGTTCAGTATTAAAATGCACTTAAAAACATACACACAAAACCAGGAAAATCCAAACTTACCCTGTTATTTGATAATTTAAAGAGATTCTCAACACTAATTACTTGAGGTGTTTTAGATGTGACTGATGTGGGCTTTTTAGATCTGTGGTTGTAGTCTGATTGGAGAGTCTAATCATCAACATAAGATACTTTTACAACTTGATGTCAGGTTTATTTTATTCTTAGGATAGTCAGTTTCATATGATCACCTCCATTTTCCCTTTTTGAGAGAAATAGAATAGGGCAAATTTTGTAGGAGAAGAATGCTGTTTACTATAACCGTTGTCTTTGGTAAACTTGAGTAAGGACAGTACTAGCTTACTTGCTCATTCTCATTTACCTCTGAGAAATGAAGCATAATACGCTCTTTTAAATAATTTTTCTGGGTAGTGGTCACAATGATGCTGTTTCCCATAGCATTGGTAACATGGCTTTGTTTTGTGTTGATATGTCTGAGCGTCTTTGGAGCACCTATATAGATTTTTCCTAGAGAATGTCTGGAATTTAGTGATTAAAAACATCTCCTGAAGTTTCTGTAGTTTCTCATGTGTTGTGGTTTGAGGCTTGGAATGGGGTCGTGACCTTCCAGCAACTGGGAGGACCCCGGGTGGGGGTGAAACCATTGTATTCCCTCCCCTTTCCACACACACTCTGATAAGAGGCAGGGAGTGGGTGCTAACTCACTCCTGCCCTGCACCTCGGAGAGGGAAGTTCTCCTTTCACTCCGTGAGACTCTGGAATCATTTTCTGAGGGTTTTGTATATTTTATTTTTTTGTATTTTTTCCCCTAATCTTTGTATATATTATTTTCCTTACCTCCCTTTTTTGTTTTCTGTTCCTTGTTAAACAATATACTTCATTTTTTTTTCCAAAGTGTCTCTCTCTCTCTCTCTCTCTCTCTCTCTCTCTCTCTCAGGAGGGGCGAGGCGAGTACATAGTTCTGTTCCGTGTGGGTCCTGCCCTGAACCCCTTTTTACATGGAACCAGGACATCATGTGATTCTGTAATAGCTGTTAACAAGCAACACATTTGTGGGCCATCTAAGCAGACATTCAACTTCTTATCTTCATAGTTACCAAGGTGTAAGGATTCCTTTCAAACAGTGTGTATGATCTCAATACACCTCTCTACTTTAGCACATTAACACAACTAGATGTTTTCTATGAATCACTAGTGAAATAACATCACTTTCAGTCTTCTGTTACTTCAGTAAACTTTGTAAGGAAAAAATTGCAGTTAGACAAATATTCTTATGCCAAAAATACAGCTTTTACAGTAGATAAATGTTTTGGGCTTTAGAGTGGTGCCATGGGGATACACACACTGGCTGTAGCTGCAGGGGTCAGTGGAAGGCATGAGTCTGTTTTGCAGCTCTGCCTGCCCCCAGCACATCCTCTGGTGTTGTGCTGTGAGAACAGGTGACCCTAACATTTGGGAACAGTACCACCCGCAGTGCTGGGCTCGCCTTCCTGTGGGGAAAACTGCTTGTTGAATTTCCAGTGGCTTGGGAACAAAATGATACTACTTGTAAAATAAGAAATAAAGCTTCTTCCAAAAACTGGAGCCTGCATATGCATAATATCTACTTTAGTTTCTTTATCAAACCATGTGTTTTCTAGACTCCTGGAATGGCATCTGAAACTGTTTTGGAGCACTACACTATTCCCAGATATATTCCCCAGCTTCTTTCAGAGGCTGCTGCTTGTTTTCTCCAAACAAACAGTCTCTCAGGATCAAATCTATTTGCCTAAAATGACTGTTGTTTTATAGATGGTTCCTTTCTTTTGTAGCTCTTGTCTCTACTACCTTAAGAAAATACATCTTAGTAGAAATATAAAGAAATAATACTGAGTTTTGGTGGTTTTTTTTTTTGTACTAAACCTGCAGCGAACAGGTATGAATGATTGTTTGTTCAAACGCTGTTTTCATTCCTCTTTCTGTACTACTTTCCTAGGAAGCATAGCAACTAGACAGAAGCAGCTCCGTGAGTGTCGGGTGTGCCAATGGCCTCTGCTGTCATCGGTTCCGTTCCCACCACTGCGTCTCGCTTTGCTCTGTTACAAGTAGAAAGTGACACCGATTCGGAGCATGGAAGAGGAAGAAGTGGCCAAGGTGCCAGTAAATCTCAGGCTTCAGGGGCAAGATCATCTGCAACTGAGAAAAAAAGAAAGAAAAGGAGAAAAAAGAAAGAACAGCAGCAAAGTGAGGCCAATGAGGTAAAGGGATTATACTTTGGGTAGTGGGAAATGTTATCTGATAAATAATTTTTGCTGTCCCTGACAAGTCATTCTTGTGGGTTTTTTATGAAACAAATTCTATTTAGTCACAAATACTGCATTTCTTTTTCTTTGCTTTATTAACAGTTCTTTTTATATGAAAGTAGGATACTCCCGACTATAGAAGTTGAAAGTTTTTAATAAGAATAAATTGCTAGGTTTTACTTTTTTGACAGCACCACTTGAATTATTAATTTGAAGATGAAGATGTTAATTATTTTGAGTGTTTGGAGACGTTAATTGTCGAAGATGACGTTTCCAATAGGCATACCCTGATGCATCTTTATGCTTACCTTAACACCACCAAAACTTTTACAACCATCAAAGTAAACGTGTGCATGTGCTGTGTGTACTTCCAGTGCATTTGCATGGAAGTGCTGCTTGCTTTTGTAAGGGCAGAGAGGCAAGTGGGGCCTGACTTACTGCCTGCACCCCAGCACGCCTCTGTCTGTCGTAGGAGCACGGCACTGCAGTGACGCATCAGGGTGGTCTGCGCTGGCGTACCTGCTGGTGCTGTGCGCTGAAGCGAGCAAGCAGGAGTTGTGTCGGTGCAGGCAGCAGGAGAGACAGTAGCAAAGCAACATGCAGGATGGCAAGGGACTTTTTGGAAGGGAAGGAAAACACTTCTGAAGTGTCTGCACTCTTGCTTGGTTTTAAGTAACGTCGATCTAAGGTGAGCTGCCATTTTAAGGAGTCATAACACTTGATAAACACACGTTAAGGAGAACACTGTTTTGCACTTTGTTTCGTTCTTCGTGGGGTGATAGCTTCCTTCCCCATTTCCAGGAGCCTTTATGTTAAGGACATCCTTGTCCCTAAGTTGATAGTAGATTGTGTGGGTGCCCTTATTTTCACTCCAGGTTGGGAGCAGAGTGTCAGTTAATGTTTAAGCTTGAGCAGTGAATGTGTTTGAGATGTCAAATTTACAGGTTATTTGTTCACTATCAAATCTTGTAATTTTGTAAGGTATTTTTAAGATGGCACTGTTTTATCTATATGGTGCAGCTAATAATAATTCATATTCAGGTTCTTAAAATGTGACCAACTTCAGATTGTTGACAAACTGTAAGGACTGTGTGGTTTTTCTTTTACCTGAACCTCTAGTTCCTCTGCTGATGCCAAATCTGTGTATGCCACCACCTTTTCTTTGGCATTAAATTTAATTTGGGTCAGGAGTGAGCACACCATCATACCTGATCCAGAATGAAATCTGCTGGACACAGTTATCTCTTCAGATTTATTGAAAATATTTGCAGCTGGCAAAACGTATTTACTTTGCCATTGCTTTATACTGTGTGGCTGCAGTGTTTCCATAGTTTCTCATAATTTTACATAATGGTGTGTACCATAAGTCATTGAACAAATGTGTCCCAAACTACAGCATAAGTTAAAGCACATGCATGTCTATTTGCACATATCTGAATGCCTTTAGTCTATTAAGACTGTTTCCGTATATTTGTCAACATTTTGATTAATGTTAAAAATAACTTTTTCAGCTCAGAAACCTAGCGTTTAAAAAGATTCCTCAAAAATCCTCACATGGAAGCTGTCTGTCTCAGCATGAACAAAAACTGCACGCTGCAATCCGGAAGGGCTCTCAGGAAGAAAATTGGCAGGAGTGGAGACAAAGAGATGAGCAGGTACAGCTTGCTGTATGTAGCTGTCTTTGGATTTCCTGAAATACATTATTCTTTGAAATTCAGTCTCATGGATAAAGAGAGATGGCTGGAGAGGAAGCAACAAAATGCTGTCAAACAGAAGGAGAGGTTTCAGTGGAAATTCAGGCCACATCTTCTGTCAGGTACAGTTCAGAGCTTTTTGCACACCTCATAGCTGGACTATGAATACTGGAGTATGCTAATGGGAATTTGTATAATTTGGACAGGTAGAAGTACTACCATGGAAGCTTGGTGAAACGCTGTGGTAGCAGCAAAGCCGAGGATGTTCTGTTGGGTGTGCAGCACGGATCCACAGTAAACCAGACTTGCCAAGTTCAGTTACACATGAAATAATTAGTTCCTTTCTGCGTAACAAGGAACACTTGAACTGTCAGTTCTGGCTGCCCTTTTGTACGCTAGGGTAGTCCTATCAGCGTTAAGAACCTCTGTTTGTTAGTGTGGAACATCTTTTTGGTAATAAAATTCTTACCAGCGTTCATTAACACTCAAAGAATACAACAGAGGTAAAGCAAAGGGTGACTGTGCCTGTAGGAAGGCCAGTACAGTGTTTTCACTGTGTTTCTTCTTCCCAAAGCTACCACCAACAGAAGTTACACAGCAAAATGCACTTAATCCAAACTAGTAAAATAATCTTCAGGTTGAACAAGTACAATAGCTTTCTGTCCTTGTGATGTCACTTAGAAAGTGTACGTGCAGTGAATACTAACCTTCTTGGTTCTTGACTTCATAATTTAAAATACTGCTCTTTGATACCAAAGAATGTGTAGTGATTTTTCTTACGTGGTGTTTTAAATTATATGAATGTAGTGAATTGTTTGCGGTGCTTAAACTATTTTAGGCTAAAAGAGCATAAATGGACAAAGAAAGAAGTAGGTTTAGTTCGGGGGGTTTTTTTGTTCTTTTTTTTGAACCAAGCTTAAAGAGATGTTTTGCTGTACTTTTTTCTAGATTGCTTTTAAGTAATTGTCTGCTATGTACTCATTCACTATGGGTAATAGACGCAGCATTCTTGTTAGGCTTTCAGACTATTTAACTTTTGCACAAACTTTTTCAAGGTAAATTGCTAGGAAGTGACACTAAATGGAGTTAAATGCCAGCTGTTGAACTTCTATGACTGCATCTGCTAGGATGTCTTTTTCTTTCATTGAGAAATTTTCAATTTATGTCGCAGCAGAAGAGCCAGTAACGTTCTAATTAAGACACAACACAAAAGGCCATATTGACAAAGGACAGACATTTGGATACTGTCCTTGATTTTTTTGCATATGTGTGTTGCTAATGCTTTGGTGTAGGTGCATCCTTAAGCAAAGGACAGCCAAGCCCTTAACATTCCAAGCTTCCAGATGGTAGTCCTAGCAGTAATGACCTAATAATTGTCTTGAAAATTGCCAGAGCTAATTAACTTCAGAATTACTTTTTAAGGTATAGATTTACTTTGTTCAGTACCTGCAAGTTTTTTATTCTGTGTGGTATGAAGCAATTATTTCAGGTTAAAAAGAATTTTTATAGTCTAATTACTGAGTAGTGAAATGGTCAGATGAAGCAAACTCAGTTATAAACAATCAATTGTTACTAACTTTTATTTTACTGACATATAGGCTGTGAAGTTAATGTAGGATTCTTTTATTTTAAAAATAACATTGGAGCAATTACCGTAGTTGTACCATATGATGCTTAAAGTTCCAAAGATAACTCTGCCCCATTTCTGTGAGAAAAAGGAATAGCCAAATGCTGTCACAGTTCTTGAGGCTGAAGAATAGACTGTTTTGCAGAACAGATACATTTTAAACAGCTTTCTGCAGTCACAGGGGACTGAGCATAATGAATGGGGGTAGAGTGTGGATTGTGAATATTTTTACAACAAATCCTATGTTAACTCTTCTTACAGTAAACAGTGAAGTGGTTGACACTGACATTACTGTTAGATTACTGTGTTCATATCTTGTAAGCACGAAATAATTAAACTGTGCTTTAAGTTATTGGTATGACTTGGACACTATAGCTTTTGAGGCAACCATGATAATTACAGTGCACTTTTTTTGTTCATAAATGGTTTAAAGCATTGGGGTTTAGGCCTCACAGTGCCACAAAGTTGCCCCAACTCCTTTAAACTTTTACAGTTTACCCAGAAACTCTTAAAAATTTAACTATTGGAATCTGATGGGTGGAAAAAGAAATTTCTACTTGTGATTTCTGTCTTAGAACAGCAATATAAATGTTTGAGGTAGCTCCAAGTTTATAACATGAATGCATGTCTTGTTAGAATATTCTTAATAAAATGTGCATAATCAACAATATTCCTTTTAAAACTGCTAGTCCACTGTTTGTAGATGCTGTCCATGTATTACACCACTGAGTTACAGTGTCTTTGTATCAACTCTGTTACATTGTCATATTCTGTAAGACTATGTATAAATATGAAGAATCCATGGATAGCTGTGATTTAAGAAATTGTGATCTTAAAGTAAATTTCATTACAGACACAAGATAAAAGTATTAGACTTGAAGCTGGGAGCATAGTGAGTGAAGAAAACTGTGTGAAAAGGCAAATTTGCTGAGAAATAATCTTTCTAGTTGGCCTGAGCACGGGGACTGTTGGTTTTTTTCATCCCCATTCTTGCCTCTTTCATCACATTTATGTTGAATTTTTCCATGTGGTAGACTACAAAGCCTAATTTTTGGTAGATAACTGTCATTGCCCACAACTGTTGGATTCAATCTGACAAAAACAGTTAATTGATTTTGGAGGAATTTCTGTCACTTTACTTATCAAACCTCTAATTACTGATTCTGATAGAACCCAAACACATAGGAAAAAAAACCCATCCCTGGTGCAAAACGTCTCCCCCCCTCTCTTTGCTCTCCAGTCCCCTTGCTACCTGTGGCAGGAGGCAGGGGATGGTTCATGGGCCCCCTTCCACCAGCCATGCCCCAGTGAAGGTTGTCCCTGGTGGCTGCACTGCCCCACTGCTGGCCACCTGCCCCTGCAGACCTTCAGGGTTCCCAGGTGCCTCCAGCCTGGCTGCTCCAGGGGTCTCTGGCTATCCCTCACCTCCCTGGCTACTGAAGCCTTGCCAGTGGGGCCCAGTGCAGGCAGTCGTTGCTAAGCTTGAACTGCAGACCGGAGCAAGGCTAGGGATGACCACATGCCAAAGCCTATGTGAAGTCCTGTACCAGTTTATGCTGAGAGCTGTGTCCTGCTGCGTTTCAGATAACTGCTCAAAAAGGTCTGGTTTGCTGTCCTAAGAATGAGAAGCCAGTCTTCAGTTTTTTCCTAGGTGAGAGTGATCGTATGAATTGTTGAACAAACAATTAGGAAGAGTGTGTGTGCTTTTACACGATATACTTTATATATGCTTAGAAGTGATTTATTATATGAGAGCTTGTAAGGGTTTTGTTTAGGGAACATGGCTTTTACAGATAAAAAGGCTAGTGTATGTCTGCAGCCCAGTTTGAGAAAAGTATGTTAAGACCTTTTAAGTCACTTACTAAGTTTAACAGCTATTGTACTTCAATCTGGAATAAATTAAAAGGACCTCAATTTGAAATTCAAAGAACAAGAAAATTATGGTTAAAGTAATTATTTTTACTAATCAATATTTCAGTTAAGGGGAGGGACTCTTTACAAGAGGTTGTAGTGAGAAGATATGGGGTAATAGCTTCAAAGTGGAAGGGGGTAGATGTAGCTTAGCTGGAAGGAAGAAGTTATTCTCTAGAGGGTGGTGAGACATGGGAACAGGATACCCAGAGAAGCTGTGGATGCTCAATCACTGCATGTGTTCCACTAGACCATGTTGCACAAGGCCCCCCACAACGTGGTCGTGAATGTGTCCCTTCCACTGGGCAGAGGGGTTGGAACTGGACGATCTTTAAGTTCCTTTGCATCCCAAACCACTCTATGGTCCAGTAATACGATTCTTTGAAAAGGAGGGAGCTATGATGAAGAATAAGGCTTCCATTTGATGGCAGATCACACAGGGGATTGTAATGATTTGAGAAGAAAGAAGACCTTGATGGAACCATTTTGCATTCAGAACAACTTAATCTTGGTTAACTTTGCGGTAAACAGTAACATAGGTTATTAGCTGTTTGTACACTTAGATTACCCAGTATCTGCCTTGGCTACAGCATCTGTATCTGCTAAGTAAATCTCTTATTTTGTCTGCACTGAACTGTTGCTGGTACTGGTCTTGTCAGTTCAGTACTTCTGTGCAGCAGGAGCTGGGCTTCCCTGCACTTCCCTGTTTTCCTATAACAGAAGAAAAAGGAGATGTCCTTCATTCCTGTTGTGCTATTTGTGATTATTTTTATTAGCAGCTCACACCTAGAAAGCTTCACATTTTCTTTGCATCTCCAAGAAGATTTGCTTTTTTTTTTTTTTTTCAGAAACGCAAGAGAAAACATCTTGAAATAATTGTGGTTTCCTTAGTTCTGCTTTCCTTTGAAGAAAAAAGTAAAGTGCACTTAACCTAACTTTTTCTAGGCAGTGGATGAGCACTTAGACTTTGTGGTGGTCTACAGGGACCACTTTCATCCTTTAATGTCTGGTTTTCGTGTTGCAGACTGAAAATAAAAAATAATTTAAAGAAAGCTCATGTAAATAAACCATCAAGATGGTGAGTGTGCTGCATAAAGGTGTGCACAACTTGCTGCTTGCTTATGTCCTTCTCACAGTTTCCTGAAGCAAGATGTTTTATTACTTACAGTGCGAAAAGGTGTATCAACTGGTAATAATGCCCTGTGTCCTATCAGTGAAACTTAAGGGTTTTGGCAGTTGTAATGATGTCTGTATTGAAACTGAAATTTTAGTGTGGTCTTGTCTGCCTTCTTTTGACAACCTAGTCTCACAAAACGTGTTAATTGTGTTTTTTAGCTGACATCTGAAATGTTTGAAGCTGATCTCGAAAAAGCATTGCTGCTAAGCAAACTGGAATATGAAGAACACAAAAAGGTATTTGCAGGGTTCATCCTAATGTAAAAGCAATACAAGATTGAGACTTGAGTTTTAAAAACAAATTAAAAAACTTCTAAAAGTATGATTTTCTTAATGTAAATTGCTCACTTACACTGTTCAGATGCTTAAGAGTTCAGAGAAATATCAGATTTGAAAGAAACCATATATAATAATATTGGGTGATTTGCTTTTTCTTTATTTTTAATTGGCTTGTAAAGGTGGAAAATTATTTCTACTTTTTCAACTTCCTGACATAAAAATGTGCTGAATTTTTTTAAGAGTACAAGAGATCTCAACCTTCCACGGAAAAAAATCCAGCACACTTGAAGAGTAAAAGAATCAAAGTAATGGCTTCTCCTTAGACCTTAAAATGTTAGTTATGGTTGAATGCTATAAGCAAGCGAAGGAAAAGCACTCTAATTTCCATCTTCGCTTGATTATAGCATTTTTTTTTTTCCTGAAGGTTATTTAACATGTAAGATTATTTTTAACCTTAATAAAAATAACCTTAAATAATAATTCAGTATTTTAAATAACTGGGATATCAGTAATTTGCTTGGAACGTTAATGTAGGTATGAGGGGAGGTGGGACTCTGGTTCAAATGGATATCACATGCTGGGCTCTCTGAGTTCAGTAGGAGTAAGGTCAATTGGTAGAGCACTGCTGCACACTGACAGCTCTCCAACTTCTACTGAATGAGTTAAGCACATTTTGAGAATAAAAAGAAGGTACAGTAGGCCTCTTGATTTTAAACAATGTACTAACCTGCACTGTGGAGCACTCGTCCTTCCTGCATTTGACTGCTATAACATATTCTCAGTTTATGACTTTTGGTAAAGTTTGATATAGGTGGTTGAGGAAGTATTAGGCAATAGTTCATTTGCTGTTTAGTGAGGAGCAATACTCTATTTCAGGGAACAGAACAGATATTTAGTTGCTGATACGACTCTACTCTTTAAACCAATCTGTAGCCTGCAAGTTACTAAAGGAAATTTTAGCATAAGTAGTACACTGTCACTATTTTTTTGCCATTACAAAGCTTCAGGAAAAATATTTGGATATTGAAGAAAATTATACCAGTGGGACTTTATTCTTCCAGGAGTATGAGAACGTTGAAAATGCTTCATCTCAGCCAAAGTCTGTGAATAAGAAAGAGAAAAAGAACCAGCAAGGAAAAGACAGACCTCTCACTGTGTCTCTGAAAGACTTTCAGTCAGAGAGTAATGCAGGTAGGCCTTACCATACTATATAAGCTGTTCTACTTGGAATTTTCACAGTGTATGTGCTAGCAGCAAAATGCCCTTCTGTCTCTGTTCATTAATACTGTGTTTAAACAAAGACTAAATGAGTTTGCAGTCCTACTGAATCTAAAAGCTAAATGTTCATAATGTGATAATGGGCTAGTTAGGTGAGCAGGGAAAAAGAAGTAGTTAAGGAAAACAGAAAATCATGTAGTATCCCTGGTGTTGGTGGTGGACTCAAACACTCTTCTATTTGAATTTTTTTTTTTTTTCAAATCTAAGCTTTTTTTTTTTGTCTTACCAAGCTTGCACACCTCGGGCATCTGAGTTTCTCTTGTTTTCTGTGTAATAGCAAATTATTGTTTTCCTTGCTTCATGATACTAGCTTTTAATGAGTAAATATTGAAATAACCTATATACAGTCATTGTATGCATCATTTATACGTTTAAAATTCCTTCTTCTATGTCTGTGGATTTTAGTGAAGAAATCAAGTTAGGTGCTAGAAAAGGAAAAAAGTAATTTGGTTTTGAAGGTTTTTCTTTTAAGGGTGTTTTTATCTAAATCTGCAATATTTATTAAACACATTATTTCCAAATAATCTGATTAGAGGAAAAAGATTGAAAGCATAGCGATGTGGAAGGCGTTCAGGTATACAGTGAGATACATGCTATAAAGCCCTAAATAGACTGAAAAAGAAACTAACCAACAAATTTCTTGTGTCTGTACCAGCTATTGCCTTCCATTTTAACTGAAGCAAATAAATATGGGATACTGCTTTTGATTAAATAGTCTGAAAGATCTAAAAGAAGATGCAAATACAAGGATTGATAGAATACATAGTTTATAATGTTGGCTGCTAGTGCTTTAGCACTGACATTTTTTGTTGTGACTTAGAGGGGAGACTTAATGTTGAAGAACTCCAACAGATACTTTTTTTTTTTTCCCTCAACACTTTTCAAAGCCTCTTGTTTCAGTGACCAGCTGTACAGGATTTGAATAACTTATTGATGTAATGCTTTTTTCTGTTCTTTGCAGATAACCTTGCTAAAAACCATGAGGTAAGTTGTATTCAAGCTAGTTTAATAAAAAAACCCTCACCTGTTATGTTTAGAAGGTCATTAGTTTGGACTTTCTGTAGTGACAGTTATACATTCTGAAATTCACTGATTTCTCTTGGGAAATTTATTACAGATGCAGATTTAATAGAGATGTATGTCTGTAGTTCTTGTTTCTTGAGAACTTGGTATTGTCCTTCTCAGAATTACCTCTTGCTTCTTCAGCTTTCAGATAGTCTTTGATGCTACTTACTGATTTAAAAGCATGTTAAAAAATACAAATGGTAGTACAAAAAAGAGAAGCAAATTGGATAAGAAAGCACTGTGGTGCTACTGTGTTGTGGTGTGGTCCACAAATATTAAACCTTTTAGAGGGAAGAATTGTTAACAGTGAAATAAAATGCAGGTTAGTGCAGTTAGTGCAAAATTATTAAATTCCAACTTCATGCTTTTATGTAATCTCATAACAAACTATGCGTTAACTTAATTAACTCTAGGCTCTTCAACTGGTACCCTGTTCTTTAGGTGGAAGTCGCAACATTCTCATGATGCGCAGCTTAAAACAGTGTCTAGATGTAATGCATCTCCATGACTTAAGCTGTTTTTTAAACATGTTTCTGCTAGCTCAGTATTAACTTATGTGTAAAGGAAGATACATTATAGTACTTCTTTTTTTCAGGGTCCGAGCTCCTCCCAGCCTTCATTGCATGACGGAGGATTTTTCAACAGGCTAGAAGATGATGTTCACAGAATACTTGAAAGAGAGAAAAGGAGAGTCCAGCTCACTGAATACAGTGAAACGGATAACTGCACGTCTCGTGAACACAACCAGGCATGTAAAACAGCAGTCATTCTGAAGTGAAGAAGTTTGCCCAGTGAAGCTTATTCCATGATCAGAAGGGAGCACCTGAGTAGAAGGAAGCACAAATCAAAAGCATGATAATCTTAAAGAATTTTAAAAAAACACAACACTGTAATATTTTATCTATCTGAAGAGGTATTTAAATGAATTAATTTTTTAAACACACAACATTTGTGATTGAAATAATATTTCCTCCACAGAAAATACCAATATTTATTACTGCATTTCTTAACCTTGTGGTATCTATTCGCATATACCTCTTTAGTTTTGATCAAAAATTCTCTTCTTTAACAAATAAGTATCTTTCCCAAGACTTGAATTCACATGACTAAATTATTAAGAAGTGATGTTTTCTTGGTTATAGGAGAGTGTTTTGAAAGGTGGAAAAACGGAGCAACTAAAGCTTGAGCTTGAAAAGAAAGATGCAGAAATTGAGCGACTGAAAAATGCAGTAACTCAGTGGGAGGTATGTAAATGATTATACCTTCAGACAGCAGACAAAATTTAACATTATTATGTTTGAAACAAAGTGTTTATTAAAATGTGACAAAATGCAGAGATGCTGTAGCTTAGCTACAGATTGTGTTTATAGAGCAGATTATTACTTCAGTACCACATGAATCTTTCTTGGTAAGTTAAACATCTAAAAATAATCAAAAGCATCAGGATAGAGCATCCAGAAATAAATGTCTTAGCTAGAATATAATTCACTATTTGTTTTCTACTATTGCTGTTGTCATAGTAAAGAAAATAAAGATGTAATCTAAGACTAGGCAAGATCTTGAGCAATCTGACTTACCTTGGAAGTTAACTCTGCTCTTAGCAGACAGCTGGACTTTCTTGGGTCTTTTCCAACCTGTTTAATTTTCAAATCCTACTCAGCTTTTCTTGCATTTAAGAACTACATACTGTTGGATATTTTTGTAGGTCCAGTCCATATTTGAAGTGGTTAAAGAAATCAATATTTTGTCAGGTTCCTCTGAAACTGCAGTGTAGCAAGACTGAAGTCCTGTATTTTGTTATATTGTTTCCTATCCCAAACAAGTGAAATCAGATTGGCTATGTGCTAAAACACACCAGGAAAAAAGATTTGCTTGTTAATAATTACACAGTGTTGCTATACAGTAGAGTACCTAGGGGGGGGAAAAAAAACCCTGTCTGCCTGTTTTTGGTCCACATTAGTGTTGTCTGGGTAGTATTTAGACCAAAAAGGACAAAATTTCCATTAGGAAATAGCATTGTAACAAAATAAAGTAAAGAAGTATAGAATTATTTTAAAGTAATTCATTGCTTAAGGTAGACTGAGCAGGTTGGCAGATTGAGAGTTTTCTGATGCTTCAGAGAAGTACTTTTACTGCAGTAATAAAGACATGAACTTCGTAACAGCTGTTTTCACTGTGTACTAAAGTTGGAATCCACAGGTGAAACTTTAGAGTATAAAACCGTTTATATTTATGACTGTAAGCACTTGATCACATTTGACAGAATAAATATGATGCATAAGGATTCTAGTGAGGTGGTGGATGATGACCCAACTCTTTCATTTTATTGACTTATCCAGAGACCTTTTTACAGTTTTAGGTGGCCATGAAAGGTCTTACTTAAATGTAAGTTAATTATCCTCAAGGACTGGTGTGATACTTGAAGTGAATGATAGTAGCTTTTTTATTACAAAAAAAACCCCCAGATGTCTGAAATGAAAGTTTTTTTTTTTTTTTGAAGAGCCTACAAAAGCAAACTATATGAAGAGATTTGTGACAGGAAAAATGTTTATAGCTAAGATCTGTGGCTAGAACTGACACTGGAGGCCAGCTGAGGAAAAGACTGACTTAAAGGTGTCATGATATCAGAGAGATTGGAATAAAAAGGAAAAAAAAAAATAATAGGTTCTTGAGTAGTAAACTGTAGAGTTGAAAAGGAAAGAAACTGTCTGTAATAACTGCTGAATAAAATAATCTGTAGACCAGTGGGGTCTTGTTCTACTTGCTCATGTTTGTGGTCTCAGTATGTAGAAAGCACATTAAAATTATTGTAAGTTTTCAGAGAAGCCACGAAGACGCTGATGCAGTGGGCCTGTATGCTTCAGACACACCTGAAAGGTGGTTCCTGCACTATCAGTGCACTGGCACAACTTTCTGATTTTTAACTTGGTCTAAGCCTTGTGCTTACCTTTTTTCCTTGATTCTCAGTTATTAATCCATTTCTCCTGTTGTGTATTTCTTATTTGGCTGTGTCTTAGTTAAGGTAATCTATGTCTTAACTATCTTTTACAACCTAAATGATTCTATGATTCTGTGGTTCTGCAATAGCATTCTCTGTAGAAGTCATCATTTTAAACTCTGACATTAAATCGTGCCTAGTTGATAGAATACTTTTTTTACTAGGGTATACGTGTAATAATTTAATCTCTTTAATACAGGCAAAGTATAAAGAAGTAAAGTCAAGAAATGCACAGCTTCTGAAGATGATGCAAGAAGGTGAAAGTAAGAGTTATATCAGGAAAATGAAATGTTCTTTTTAAAACATGGAAGGAAACTTTGAAAGCAGCTTTTTGAAAATACTTTGACAGTGACAGCTGTGTGCTCTGGACTGATCTCATTGTAATGCTTGTTTAGACACTCTTGAGGAAACTGTTCAGTTCTTGTATATTTGCAAGCTGTGCTTTGAGTTGTTGCAAGTGTTATTCGCTTATCAGACAAAGATCAGGGATGGCTGTTAGGGACTGTATATACCACTGTGTGATAATTCTCTTCCATTACAATGCTCTTCAGAGTTCTTATGATTCAGAGTTTGTTGTCAAAGGTTGGAAAAAAGTTATATAGATATATTCATATACATGTAAATATCCTAGTATCTTTGTAGTTGTTATATGCAGTTATTTTGTATTCCTAATTAATATTCCTAATTGGGCTTTTTGTATTCCAAGTTAATATTCCTAATTGGGCTTGATGAAGTTTTTTTGAGTTTACGATGCTACCCATCATAAACTAATTTTGTTACGAAATTGCCTTTGCTTTTTAAATCCTTAATTTAGCTCTTGAATATAGTTTTTTCTCTGGGCTAAATTTTCAGCTAAAAAGAGTTCATTTTTTTTCTTCAAAATGTATTTACAAAAACTGTCTAAGCTAGTTTAAATTTCATAATGTAAACATTAATCACAATGTTACTAACATGATTAACATGAGCATTAATCACATAATAATCACTGCAAGCTTTAATTTTGGAACTTTTACTTCATGTCAATATCTGAGCCAACATGAAATGTTTTCACCTTGAGAGAAAAGAGGTGAAGTTCCAAAGGTTTTTTGTTTGTGGAATAGTACCATACAAAAAATGAGCAATTTTATTTTTTTTTCTACAGGCTGAGTATTCTGCATTTTGGGAGATGAAAGCTCATTGCAGAATGGAGCTTTGAAAAAACTTTATTTCTTCATATTGGGAATTTTAAGCTATACACAGATATTTCACAGACACCAGCTAAATAGTTTTGAAATCTCCGTATTTGAATAAATAGGCATTTCCATAGCTATGACAGAGCTCATAGGTGGAGCCTCTGATCCCAAAGCCTTGACCCATCATTTTCTGAGGGACAATGGATATCTCTAAAATCCATGCTGCTTACAGGGTTAAGTGCAGGGTAAGTAGTGCAGAGTTGGGCTTTAATCTCCACAGTTGTCCAGGCTGGTACTCATGGCTCTGTTAGCTAATGGTTTGTTTGGCTTTGCAAAATCTACTTTTCCTTTAGTGAAGATGGCATTATTCAGGGGTAACACACAGTGAAACAGTCTCGTCACAGTGCTATTGCAGACCTGTGAAGGTACCTAGAAAGATCCTCATGCTGTATCTTTCTCTCTCTGTAGTGAAAGACAAAGCAGAAATACTCCTACAGGCTGATGAATCTCAAATTATCAAAAATGAATTGACTGCACAGGTAAGCAAGGATTTCTACATGTACAATTTCATGGGCATTTAAAAAATACTATTTAAGTTAGTGACAGAGTTGAGGAGGAAACTTGAACAAAAAAATTGTTTGAAGAAAAAAAATGTTAAATTTCATCCTTAGCCCTGCACTGTGTCAGAGGACATGTATTATATTAATCTCCAGTATGAATCCCTTAAAACTGTTTCTGGAGACAGAGCAGACCTCAGCATGCCTGAAATGATTTTGCCATGAACAACACCTTAGGAATATAATTTTCTGGTAATCCAAGCTAGAAGCTCTGGGATGTGCTTCAGAAGATTAGATCCTTCCTGTGTGGCTTTTTTGTTTGTTGGTGGCTTTTTTTCTATTTTTTTTTTTTGTGTGTGTGTGGGCTTTGGTTTTGGTTTTTTTTTTTTTTAATTCATTTACTTCTAGTCTCAAATTTACAAACATAAGTGAGCTATGTGTCAGTTAGCAAGTCACTGTAGCAGAGTATGCAAGACCTTTCTGCTTAGATTTTGGTACAGAGACCATTAGTTTTGAGTCCTTGACTTGTCCAAACTTCTTACATGCGACAGTAGTGTTTTTTGAGCGTGATGTAATACACTTACCTGTCTTGCATAATACTACATCTTGAGTGTGTTATGGAATAAACTGATATGGACTCCAAAAGTCAGAAGAACTTTTTGGCTTTTCTGTATCATTATATAGGCAAATCAGCAAATGTTGCTTAGGAAAAAAGTCATTAAAGAATATTTTGTTTCCACTTCATGCACAATGGTGGCAGTAGTCAGTGTAGAACTCAGCACGTGTTACCTGTTTGTCCAACTCAGTACTAATGGAGAACAACATTGACTTGATAAACTCACTGACATTAAGGTTATCTTATAAATTTGTGTTCTGTATGCTTTTAGGTAACTCTTCTTCATGCTGCATTAGAGCAAGAGAGATCCAAAGTGAAACTACTGCAGACAGAATTAACAAAATACCAGGTAGTTATTTTCTGTGTATGTAAGTTTACCTGCCTTGGTGTAGCTGGGACTGTGGTCTGAACTGACCTGTTAGGGAATATTAGCTCTAATTTCTCCAGTTAAAAAAATGTAGCAGTTCATATTGTAGGGA